GATGCTTGGGAGGGGTTCCCGGGCGAATGCTGGGCGCGCGGCAGGGGCTGCGAGTTCCCAGGCGAGGCGACATTGTACGAGGAGGGATTTCTCTACGCCGACAACTTCTGGCTGTTTGCGGGAACGGCCGAGTCGCTGCGCCAGACGACGATGGCTTGGCGGCGCATCCTGCGAGCTCGCGGCTGGCACGCACCCCCCTCGGGCCCGACAACATGGGGCGCGACGGCGCTGGGCCACGAGCTCGGCGACTACCAGATGAGGGTCGAGGGCGGCGCCCTGACCTTGGCCCGCTTTCACCTTCGAGGGAAGGTCTTGGAAGGACACGCAGCACAGGGCACCTCGCGCCTGGAGAGCCTTTTTACGCGCTCAAGATGCGTCTACCTGGACGCGCCTGCCGATGGCAGCAGGCCGCGAAGCTGCTCGAGCGAGCAATCAAATCTGTCTTGCTCCTACGGGTCAGGACGGCGGTGCCCCGCGGTCAAGGATCTCAATCTAGTTCGAGTCACGCACCGCAAAGTGATCTCTCAGCTGATTTACACGCAGAGATGGAAGGAGGAGACGCCAGAGGACTTCTGTCGCCGCCGGCGGCGCCGCGTCTCTGCCACCCTCCAGTCCCGCGCGACATGGGACTTAGACGTAAATATTCGCAGGCTGACCTGGGCTGGACACCTAGCCCGCCAGGCCCCCCTGCCAAACGCCACACCCGCCCAGCTTGTGCGTGTCCATCTGTTACAGTGGCACAGCATGGCCTGGTCCCAGAGAATGCAACGCGAACGCGGATCCCAGACGCATGGCCGCAAGTTCAAGGCCTGGCGATGGGAGATGGACCTCGCCCGGCTGTTCGGTTCCGGGCGGCTCGCGAATGCAGGCCAGCGCAGCAAGGTCGAATGGTTCGCTCGCGTTCGCCCGCTCGCACGCCAGCTGCGCTGACCTCAATCTTCTCCTGCCTCACGCGAGGCGCTTTTGCGTTGCGTTTTTTTCAGCGGCACGACGTGCCGCCCCAGGCGTAGGGGAGACCTTGAGGGCACGGTGCAAAGTGCAAAGTGCATCTTCGTTGGCAAGGTTCATAGGTAAATGCGATGTGGAGCCTTCAGAGGCGACGGGTCTCCCTGGCAGGTTCCGTTGCCGATGATGGACCAGCCGTCTCGATAGACGGGAGTGCCCAGCGCCTCGGCGAGCATTGAGCCGAGGTGCGCCGCGCGCCCCGATTTGCTGCTAACATGTTCCCCAAACGCCCGCCGCCTCTTACAGCTTAGTGTCCAGAATGTGAGCCTTGGCACCAATTGGAGGGTGGAGGAGGGAGAGGAGGAGTTCTGTGGCATGGCCCGCCCCTGGCTCAGGTGGTATCCCATATTCTGCATGGAGGGAAGGAGGCACCATGACTCGTGATGTTCTGTGTCGCGCCTGCTCCGCCTTGGTGGGCGGAGCTGTGCTTCCCTCTGACCTTCACTCGAGCTTCGTCGCCGTCCCTTCCAAGGACCATGGCAGGGGGAAAAGGGGGCACATGTCATCAGGGGGCCTGCCCACACCCACCCCATGTCCCTCTCCAACACGGACAACAAAGTTGCCTTCGTTGGCATGGGCATCCTCCTCTCTCTCTCTCTCTCTCTTTTTTTTTTTCTCTCTCTCTCTCTCTCTCTCTCTCTCTCTCTCTCTCTCTCTCTCTCTCTCTCTCTTAACAAGCCCAGTTCTCCGGCCACTAAAGTTGCAGTCGGGTGGCATCAATCAACAGAACTTGATATACATTTTTGTTGCTGGAGGGCGCCCTCCTAGCGCTGGCGTACTGCAAAGCCTTCGAGGGAGCTAGGCTCTTCTTGCGCGATCTCAAAGCCGCGCTCCCGTCCGTGCTCCACGAGTGGATATCTGAAGTATTTCAACCCGCTTGCATTCCAGAGATTTCTGTTTCGCCGCTGCGTCAGCTCTTAATCGGCATCAGGGTGGTGATCATGTTGGGAGGGAAGATTCAGGATGGATTAAGTACCGGGTAAAACAAGGATGCCCGCTGAACGCGCTTGTGCTCAAACTTGTTTTCGATTCGATCCCACGCACGCTCGGCCGCAACCTCTCGCCATTGCCAGCCGCGCGCTTTCTTTTCATGGACGAAATTGGCATCGTGTCGAACGACATCACAGGACAAATTCCATAGTCTAGAATGCGTTTTAAAGTATCGGGGGCCTTTTCGGACTTCCAGCTGGACAACAAGAAGTGTGTCATCGTGGCCCCGTCGTGCGACAAGACCCCCACAATCCAGAGATTCCTTGAGGATCCGGGTATCCCCGCCGGGCAGCTCACTTTCCGCTCCAAAGAGAAGTATATAGGTGTTCGTGTGGGCCCTGGTGGGGCCCCTTCATCGTGGTCTGCACCTGTTGGCAAATATAAACAGAGGAGGCTATGCTAAGGGATTCAAGACGGGGCTGATGATTAACTTTCGGAATGTTGAACATTGTGGCCTTCCCCATCCTGTTCTATGCGCTCCAGGTTTTCCCTGTCACCACTGCTGTGCACCAGAGCGAGCAGGCTGTTTTGCAGCGACTGAAAGGCGCTTCGGGGTCCGCCACCCCGACGGATGTGATTCGTTCGTTCAAGGACTTTTGCTTCCTTGTCGAGCCGAGGTGTCTGTCCAGAGAGAGCCGTGCTGCAACGTACTGAACAGGAGACCGCTCTGAAGAATTCCAGGCAGTACGTGACAGGCTCCAGTTCTTCGGGAGTGAAATTGTGACGTCTTTGCTGTGCGCAGGTTCCGCGGAATGGCATGACAGTTCGATGTGCGTTTCTGTTGCTACAACATCGGGAGCCTTGCGGCGAGTCCTCGCTTCGAGCTCGATCCCGATACCACCCATTTCCATTACAAAAATTGTCTGTCACTGGTGGGGTCCACCCTCTTGCTTCCCGACTTCGGTATCTATACGTGGTACCCCCGAGTGTGTCCGACAGTGTTTTTTTTTAGTTCGGTATTTCCTGCCATTCCCTTTTCCCCTCGAGCTCTGTGGCCGATGTGAGGTCTGTGTGCAATGCATGGCCAACCACCGCCAGGTATCGTCAAAGTGTTTAGTGTTGTAGGTTGCGCAGTGCCCTTGGAGGGAATAGCATTGTTCGTCTGGTTGGTTGCAGTGTAGTGGTCAGTGCTCTGCAGCGCACTTTGCCTTTTCTGCCCTATTCCCGAGCTTCCGCCTGCCCGCTCTCTCGCCTGGTCTTGCAAGGTTTGCTGAATCCGTGTTCGACGACAGTCGTTGGTGTGCCTGGTTTGCCACGATTTGACACTGTTGTTGTTCAATGAGCTGCGATCGTCGGGACGACGATGGCCAGGTATGATACCAAACCTGGTTGCAGACGAGCAAGAGCGCTCGCGAAGAGACCGGCTGGAGCTGGGGACCATCTTCGGTCAGCGTTAGCATCGCCAGCATCATCATCAGCACCATCACCAACAACGGCATCATCATCATCAACAACATCCCCCTCTGTTCCTGCTCATCCTTGTTTTCCTCGTCCCTCTGTGCTGTTCCTCTGTCTCTATCCTTTCTCTCCTCCTCGCCCCGCTCCTTGCCCATTGCCCCCCTACTGCCCCCTCTGCCCCGCAGGGAAGGCGGTGGGGGAAATACCTGTGCATCCGCCGTCTTGCGAAAAGGTTTCGTTTCTGGATCTTATTTGGAGCGTTTCAGAAAAGGCTTCGGTTCCGAGGACGGATGGGCTTGTTAGATCGTCTTCGGTGGAAGGTGGCGGCAGGCCGCTGGAAGGTGGCGGAAGTAAAACGAGGCCGTCTCCGCCAGCGGAAGGCCGGCGGAGACCGGCGGAAGTAATCATTGCGCCTCCAAGATATGACAACATTTTTGGTTTCAGGGTTTCGGGGGCCCGCCACGTTTCGTTTGAGGAGGCCCATTTTTCGTTTCAGGGTTTCGTGTCATTGTGTCTCGTTTGAGGATGTCAAGGTGGTAGAACATATGAATTGACACTCCCGCAGACATGACGGTGAAGAGGGGCAAACCAAGTAAGAAGACCCAGATGAGGGGGAGGAGTGTCCACACAGGGGAATCTTGACTGCGGCAGTCGGGCCATACTGTACGTTTGCTAGACGGCTGCAGTGCGGTCCTTCTCGCCTTTCTTGTATTGCGACGTGTGTTATTCTCAGGTCGTTGACCGCAGCTTTGGCTCGGCGTGGTGCCTTTGCTTCACTGTCGGCCACAATTTGCACTCAGGGGCTCCTACTCCTGCGTCCAAGATAGAAGTACCAGGTTGTGAGGTGTTCCCGTGGGTTTGAGGCCCCCTCACGACGTCCCGCTCATGGGTTGCGCCACGGGTGGCGCAGGTTTGTCGTGTCCACACTGTCCTGTGCACGGGGTCCCGCCCGCCCGTGGGTTGAGCAATGGTTAGCGAATGTATTGTTGCGTGTTGCTTTGCGTTGTTATTTGTTGCTTTGACTTGCATGGACTGTTTTGCAGTGGCTTGTGATGCTATCGTTGACGCGCATTGCCTTGCATTGCCTGCAATGCGTTCGCCGCCTTGCTTTGCATTGTGTTACATCTGTTGCACGAGGCCACTGTGTGGGGTCCGCGCTGGAATCGTGCAACACACACGTGCGCATCTACACACGAGAGAGGGGTGGACAGCGCTGGCCTCCTAGAGAGCGCTCCGAAGAGTCGGTCTCCTCGCCCGCTCCCGCTAAGCGAGGTGAGCGGCTCGCCGGGACGGTTTCCAGAGGGCCGGGGTCGTCCGCCGCTGTATTTCGCGAAACCTCCTTCTTCCGTGCCCTGAACGCCAGGGCCGCCTGAGAAGGAGGAGAAGGAGGAGTAGGAGGAGGAGGAGGAGGAGGAGGAGAAGGAGTGGCGCATGGGACAAGAACGGGGGGAGGCGCAGGATGGGGAGGAGGAGGAGGAGGAGGAGCGCAGCTAGGGACAGGGGTCGCTGTCACATGGATGTCTGCCGTCTGGGATCCAGCCAGCCAATATCGATTTGGATGGCCCGTGGGGTAGTTATAGGCAAAACCATGTTCCGTGCTCCAGCTGATGGCGCCGATAAGCGAGGCACTGGGGCAACGCCGCGTACCAGTACAATCAGATGTTCACTCTCTCGCGGCAGCCATCAAGTCATATGGAAAGACGAAGCAGTGGGCTGCGGCTCTGGAGCTGTTGCGGGATACGTCGAGGATGCGCATGCAAACCAGCGTCGTCCTGCACAATGCTCTTATCACTGCGTGCGGAAAAGGCAGCCAGTGGCAAACGGCATTGTCTTTGCTTGCCGCACTGCGGCACGAGAAGCTGGAGCCAAGTGTCATCTACACCGACATGTTGCATACCACACGTGCGTGCAGTGCGCGAGGTCGGACCCCTGTCCTCCTGCGCATCCCTCCTCCCTCCTCCTCTTCCTCCTCCTCCTCCTGATACTCATACTTCTCCACCTCCTCTCCCAGACGCTCGTGGAAGCGTGAAAGTATGGGAAACGCTTTGACCAGGTGTTCGTCAGATTTCTCGTCCGTCCAGTGTGGACACCTCACGTCCTTCAGGCGACGCCTCGGCCGCTCTGGACGACTTCCCCCGCGCTTCGTAAAAATGGCTCCCTGGAGGCGCCCAAGAGGCCCCACGACGACCCCATATCGCCTAGAGACAGCCCTGGAAAGTTCCACCCGGATGCGGCTGCCAGGAGGCCCTCGACGACCCAGGACGACCTCAGGATCACCCCGAGACCCCGACATGGGCCTGGCATGTTCCCATCGGCGGCCTCCATGTAAGCGTAGAGGGGTCATCTTGGAGCCGTCGTCGCGGAGCCGTTCGGGGGCCACCCTGAGGCTCTCTCAGACCTCCGTGGTTCCCCCGAGGCCCTCGGGGGAACCACGGAGGTCTGAAGAATACGTTCATGCTCCTTCACTCCTCCTCTCTCTCCCTTTCTCCTCGTGCACTCCCTCCCTGGAGCTTTCTCGTCCTCAATCTGATTTTCGGCGCCAAAAGCGAAGATTTACAAACAATAGTGGGGGAAGCGCTTTTTATCACCCGAGGGGGGGACCTCTCAGAGCGCGGGGGGCGCTGGGCCCCCGAAGGAGGAGGTCCCCGGAGGAGATTTTCTGACGAGGGCCCTGTTGAGGAGGAGGAGTGAGGCACACCCGCTGCCTTGCCGCTCTCATCATCAAACGTTGTCCACAGGTGCTGGGGAGGAGGAGGAGAAGGAGAAGGAGGAGGAGGAGGAGGAGGAGGAGGAGGAGGAGGATCTCCTTCGTGGATAACCCATGGACACAGGAGCGATACAGAGAATATTAGCATGGCCCCTGCACAAGGGTGGCAAGCAAGCATAAGGAAGCGTATGACATGTTGAGTAGGTGCGAGCACAGGCGTAGGGAGGAGGAGGAGAAGGAGGAGGAGGAGGAGGAGGAGGAGGGGGGAGGAGGATACTGGAAGAGTATGGCTTCTCACGTAAACGTACAGGCGGGATGCTTTACGGTGCTGAGTGTGTCGTCTCACGTGCAAGCGCAGTGGAGGGCTCCCTCCTCTCGCACCATCCTGCCCTTTGTGCGCGCGCGACGTGCTGCGAATGAGCCCGTTGCTTAGACACGCGATAAGGAACGCTAGTGCTCCTTGGGAGCGTGTGTGCGCTTCTCGGTTCACAATCCTCTTCCTGTCGAGCGTTCGCGAACAGGAAGTGTCTGATTCCAAGGGCAGATGTGGGTCGTAACCAATGGGCTCTTCTCGTCTCGGTCAGCTACAGCGCCGGAATCAGCGCGTGCGAGAAGGGCGTGCAGTGGCAGCGGGCTTTGGCGCTGCTCAGCGAGATGCGGGAGGTGGAGCTGGAGCCCGACGTATTCAGCTTCAGCGCTGGGATCAGCGCGTGCGAGAAAGGCGAGCAGCTGCGGCGGGCACTGCGGCTGCTCAGCGAGATGCGGGAGGCGAAGCTGAAGCCCGACCTCACCTCTACTGCAATGCTCGGATCGGTGCGTGCAAAAAGGAAGCGAGTGGCAAGAGACGGCCCCTGACGAAGGCCCTACCGGTCCCAGACGACCCAGCGCGGCCCCGTCGTTCCCCAGATCGTCCGAAAGAGCAGCCAGTAGGCGCCCGAGGCGGCCAAGGAGGCCCCCAAGGTGGCCCAGGACGCCCCCAAGATTGCACCGAGGTGACCCAGGAGGCTCCACGATTGCTCTGCGCGTGTCCCCGGGGAGGCGAACATCGTCAACTTAGTTGATTCTGTGCTTATCTGTGTTTGACGCTCTCCGCGCTCCGGCTCCTGATTGCCCGAGGCAGGGCCCGTATGCTTCCAAGAGGGCCCGCGGGGATCCATAGAGCCCCCAATACCCCAAGTCGCCCCGAAGATTGTCCAAGAGATGGCCCCAGCTTTCCTCCCAGACGGCCCCCACACACGGCAAGCATCGGCAAGCAGCAGCACGCAACCGCAAGCAGGAGTAAACATAGCCACAGCAGAACGAAGCGGAACAAGAGTAGTAGAGGGGGAGGAGTCTATGAATGGTATCGTTCTCGGACCCTCGCCATGGGGTCCATGCGCACAACGAGCGCATCAGCCGACTGCGCTGTGCCAAGAGTTCACCGAGTCGCGGTCCTGACCGATTAATATTGTTGCGGCGTGCCATCGTTGATCCACCTTCGGCGAGAAGGACACTTATGGAATTCACCCACGGGCAAGCGCTAATCAACTACAACGCTGGGATCAGCGCCTGTGCGAAAAAGGGGGCCTGGCAACTTGCTATGTCGCTTCTCGACGAGATGTGGGAGGCGGCGTTGAAGCCCGACGTCATCAGCTACAGCGCTGGGATCAGCGCGTGCGAGAGAGCCAAGCAGTGGCAGCGGGTTCTGCATTTCTTCGAAGAGATGCGGGAGGCGACGGTGGCGCCCAATGCCATCAGCTACAACGCCGGGATCAGCACTTGTGAAAAAGGTGGGCAGTGGCAGTTGGCGCTGTCGCTGCTCGGCGAAATGCGGGAGCAGAAGTCGGAGCTCGACGTTGTCAGCTACGGCGCCGGGATCAGCGCCTGCGAGAAAGGCGGGCAGTGGCAGCGGGCCCTGTCACTGCTCGGGGGGCTGCGGGAGGCGAAGTTGGAGCCCGACGTCATCAGATCTACACTGCCGGGAGTCGGGCGCGCGAGGGCGGCATGTCACAAGGCGAGTCCGAGGTAGCGCCCCTGTCCTCGAGACTTGAGAACTCCCTTTTGTCCAAGTGAGCGACACATGAAAACGGTGTCAACTGCACTGACATGCGTGCGTGAGTTGCCCGCGTAAGGCCGCGCGTGCACGTCCTCGCTTCCAATGTAGCAGCTAGCATGGCCCGCTGGCGGCCCGCGTCAGCCGCCGCGCAAGGTCGCCATTTCATCTCGCGTAAGACCCTCATCTTTTCGTCGCTCAACTCAGGTTCAAGCCGTCTCCTCGTTCGTAGGCGGTGCGCCTTCTGCTCCTTGCTGCTAGCAGCAGGCTCAGAGCAGCGACAGCTGCCAGAGCTAGGGGCCGGGCGATCCGCAGACCCTCAGTCAGCGCGGCCCGTCGAGACCTGGGAGGAACCGCAGGCACCCTGGCCCTGTCCCCAGCGCCGATGTCAACTACTTTGAACATTTGCTCGCTGCCCCGATGTGTGTATATATATATATGTATACGTACGTATGGACACGTATGCGTATGTATCTATCCGTAAGGGCTTCGCCCCCATGCCGCCGGCCCCCTGTCTCGGATAATGGGAGATGCGAATGCTAAATCATGAGGTCTGGGCGCCGCCGTGAAGCAGTGCCGGGACCTGTTTGTTTTTGGGCCCTGACCCTGCCGATCTGCGTGAGGGGTGCCACCGGATTTCACAAATGTGGCAAATCCCATGTGTTTTTGGACCCTGACCCTGCCGATCTGCGTGAGGGGTGCCACCGAATTTCAGAAATGTGGCAAATCCCATGTGTTTTTGGACCCTGACCCTGCCGATCTGCGTGAGAGGTGCCGCCGAATTTCACAAATGTGGCAAATCCCGTATGTTTTTGGACCCTGACCCCGCCGATCTGCGTGAGGGGTGCCAGCACATGTCAGAAATGTGGCAAGTTCCTTTGGTTTTGGACCCTGACCCCGCCGATCTGCGTGAGGGGTGCCAGCACATATAAGCAATGTGGCAAATCCCATGTGTTTTTGGAACCTGATCCCGCCGATCTGCGTGAGGGGTGCTAGCCCATTTTTTGAAATGTGGCAAATCTTATTTGTTTTTGGACCCTGACCCCGCCGATCTGCGTGAGGGGCGCCAGCAAGTGTCAGAGATGTGGCAAATCCGATATTTTTTCCACCCTGACCCCGCCGATCTGCGTGAGGGGTGCCGCCGAATTTCAGAAATGTGGCAAATCCCCTATGTGTTTGGACCCTGGCCCCGCCGATCTGCGTGAGGGGTGTCAATTTTTACCCACCCCATCCAATCAGACAACACGCTCAGGGCGTGGTAAAAATTCCCGGTTTGGGCCTCCCCCCCTCGCGCGGTCCATCAACAAGGAACAGTAAGCAGCAAGAAGCAGAACTGTAACAGTGGGAACTGGAAGCTGCAACTGGCACAGGAAACTGCAAAGCTTCGGCCTACAGCCCGGTGGCCCCACAAGGGGGCCGGCGGATATATTCACATTCCAGAAGGCAGAGTTCGTGCAACCAGAGGGAAGAGTACGAAGTACATGTTCTCATGCGTTGCCTCATGTTGCTCCTGAACAAAACGAACATGCATCAGCAGAGAAGACGTTTGGGCGATTAGTTAGCTACACTAGAGAGAAACCCCAAGACAGTATACCTCGCAACTTTCGGAGGTACTCCACGTCTGCCCGCCGCCATATCTAGCCTGTCCATGTGTTGATTCCTGCTCCTTCACTGTTTCCCTCTCTCTCTATTGTTCTCTCTCTCTCTCTCTCTTTCTCTTTCTCTCTCTCTCTCACTCCATGTATTTGTATGTCTATGTACTCTACTCTCTCGACTCTTTGTCACTCTCTCTCTCTCTCTCTCTCTTTCTCGCGACCTATGCATGCACATGGGTACATACGTGTTCCCGAAGCCCTCCTCTACCATGTACTCTTTACCCTCTAGTGAGTACTCTCATTCTGACCGTGGTCACAAGCACGCGTTCTCTCTCTCTCTCTCTCTTTCTGTCTCTCTCGTTCTCTCTCTCTCTCTCGCTCTCTGTCTCTTTCTCTCCCTCTCTTTCTCTCTTTCTCTTTCTCTTTTTTTGTGTCTCTCTCTCTCTCTCTCCCTCTCTCTCTCTCTCTCTCTCTCTCTCTCTCTTTATGTATAAATATGCTTACACACATACATATTGAATAAGCCAGCGCGGACCCTAAGCAGTGAATGCTTGCACTATGAAGGTGGAACACATGTTGTGCAAACTGTGTGGTGTAAGGTCGGTTGTATAGTCGTTGCGGTGTGACCTATGTGGGGCAAGCCATGTTGTTTATAGATATATGTATATATATGTATATAAATATGCTTACATAGTATATATATATGTACAAATATGCTTACATAGCTGAATGTGTGGTGTGAGCTATGTTGTGTCATGGATGTGTTGTGAGCTAGGTGGTATGACCTATGTTGTGCAAGATATGTGGCCTGAGCTGCGTGATGAAAGCTAGGAAGTATAAGCCATGCGGTGCCGAATCTTATGGTTGCTTGGTGTGAGGTCTGCGGTGTGAGCTATGCGTTGCAAGCTCCGTTGTGCAAGCTACGTGGTGCAAGCGCACGTGGCGTCCACGGGGCGCCCACGAGCGCGCACCGGAAGAGGCCGTTCTCGGCTTCGGCCCGTTTCGCCTCGGCCCGTTTCGGCTCCGGTCCGTTTCGTCCCAGCCCGTTTCGGCTTCCGCAAGTTTCGCCTCCGGATGGCGCCGGCCCGGCTCTGTTTCAGCCCGTTTCGGCTGCGCCCCGTTTTGCTTCTGGCTCCATTCGGCTCTGGCCCGTTTCGGCCCGGCCCTTTCGGCTCCGGCCCGTTTCGGCCGGGCGCGTTTCGGCCTCAGTCCGTTTCGGCTCCGGCCTGTTTCGGCTCCGGCGTGTTTCGGCTTCGGCCTGTTTCGGTTCTGGCCTTCCGGCTCTGGTTTGTTTCGGCCTCTTTCCGGGATGGCTTGGGTAGGCTTCGTTGTCGGCCGATGTTTTTTTGCAGGCGTTGTGGCGCCTATTCTTCCGCTGGTGTTATGGAATTGTCGAGCGAGTGCATGGGAAACCCAGTTAGTAGTACTCCGCCTTCCTTGTCCCCGCCCACGTCATCTTCAACAGGCTTCCTGGGTCGCCAGTCCCGCGCCAGGATAGTCGCCAGCGTGACCTATATCCACTGCCAGCTGTCGACGTGGATGAGCGCCCTGACCCGTGCCTATCCTCGACCGTGTCCAAGCGCATGTCGAGGAGGCGTGCGAGAAAGCTACTCGCCAATGGGGTCATCGACGCGCTCAAGGACTTGTCCTCCCCGGCTGCCATCTCTTCCTCTCGGCCGTCGGGTGTGCGCCGCGCGGCCCATGGTCAAAGTTTGTCCGCGTTGGCGGCAAGGCCTTCTTATTCTTGCCCATCTTTGCGCAAAGACCGTGAAGCCCTGAAGGCGCTTTGCGGAATGGAGTTCTCATGTGCTGGTGGGGACTCCAGTTGCAGCGTGGAGCCGGATGATCGAGGCCGGGTCTCGATGCCAGCTGCGGGAGCTTCGCCTCCGTGGTTGACGGATGTCATCGATGAATCTGGCAGAGGCGTAATCGACGGCTACAACACCGCGATGCTCCGCTCGCCTGTCGAGATGGGAGCCATCATGGGCCAGCAGGCATCTATTAAGCCCTGCATGGACGTGAGGCTCAAACGGGATCGGTCTCTGTACTACCAGTTCGCCCGCGACCTGTTCGAGTCCAACCTCGTGGATTTTGGGACGGAGGCGATTGAAACCCTGCACCCCTTCTTCGTGCGCAAGAAATCTGGGAAGCAACGGCTGGTGCGGGACTGC